TTACCACGTATCCCCCCCACACATAGAGAAAGTTCCCATCCACCACGGCGCAGTGGCCGCTCCGTTCCTCGGCCACGCAGAACTGCTGAGCAGGAGGAGGACACGCCGCCATCTTATGAAGGGGAGGAAGGGAGGCGGGTGCCGCAACGACCGTGCCCCGCCACCACCTTCTGGAGCGCCACCTGCTCTCCGCCGCTCGGTCACCCTCGGGCGGACGGGAAGCGGAGAGGGTCCAAACTACGGGGAGTCGCGGAACGAGCAGCACAGCAGCGCCTCCTTCTCTCCCCCCGCCCCAAATCAGGCGCTCACGTGGGAGGAAGTGGGGGGTTGCGGGATCAGCGAGCGGATTCGGGGCCCGGTCCACGGCTCTGTCGCGGCTCCCTCCATCTGCTTCTCAAGTGGGCCGCTCGCTGGTAGCAGGTCGAAGTGGGTGGAGTTTGCACCTCATGTAGAGGGTGCAGGGTCCCCTGCTGTGCTGGTTTGCTCCCCCTTCGGACAAAATAAGAACCGTCTCATACTTTTGCCCCTAGCTCGTCAAGATGAGGGGTACCCCTTTAATGGGGGACATTATCGCCCCCATCCCAGGGCCGCAGGACCTCGGGCACCCAACATCCAGGCCTGCTGGCTTTGAAATTTAACAAGTGATCGCATGGGGTCGCGAGGCATGTGCGCCAGGGGCTTGGCTATATTACAAAATTGTATTGTGCTTGAACATGATAGTGAATGGCTCACTTAAGATGCTGCTGACCATGATTTGTCCTAGTCTCTGCTGACTGCTAAATTGTGGTCAGTGGCCTTATGTCATCCAGCGTTGGTCAAACACAATAGGAACAAAGGAATTGTTGTACTGTATTGGGTCAGACAGACCCCCAATCAATCTCATCGATTACCTGTCTCTGACAGTGGCCAACATCAAAAGTTTTCAGAGAAAGGTGCAAGAAACCCCACACTGGGCAGATATGGGATAATCTGTGCCCCATTATAGGGTTATCCTAATCCTTATTAGAGATTGGTTTAAATGCTGATGTTTATAGCCTTGCAAATAACATGTAATGTAGACAAACCCCATGGAATAGTAAAATCCTGTGGTGCACAAGATCTAGAAAGAATAATTTCAAACCCTTGGAAATCTTAAGAGTACATTTGGGGATGCCCCAGCACCTCTGATAAGTTACTTGCATATTATAATAATTGGAGTGGTATAAATACATAGGGCTTGTGTCTTCAAACCAGTGGCAGCATATTTGAAAGGCATTAGTGCTACATCATGAAACTAAAATCACAGGAAATGTTATAAATGTTCTTTAATTACACACCATTTAAATTTTCTCCTCTAATTTTTGTTGTATTCTATTTTTAATTTAATTCACACATTTAGTAGATCACTCGTCAGTTATGGGCTTTAACAGGTTGAGAGCCATAAACTTGGAGCTCTACTTTATCCTGCCAAGAATTGAGAGCACTGATTATGTTATTCCAGTGACACAGCTTGTCCTGTTGAATTTATTTTCATCCATGTTCCCTTCTCTGCAGGTGCTACTTACATTGCTGCACACAGCAAAAGACTGGGGCCTAGATGAAAAGAAAGGAAATACAGACCCAGTGCTCTCAGAGCAAACCCTAAAACTAACTAACACCCACAGAGGGACAGGAAGGTTCCTACTTGTATAAACCAGCCTGAAAACACTTTTGAAGTTTTTAAATTATGTTTAATTTCAGGTACAGAAGAGGAAACGAAGGAGGGAAACTGAAACAATGGCAGGCACAGAGGTTGACAAATTCTTTTGGCACCCCTGCAGTTTCCAGACAGTGACATTTAGAAGGCCAGACTAACTTTTGGACCCTACCCTCCATGAACTCCAAAAAGAGGAATAAGTTTAATTCCAACTCTTAGATCATCATTGTGAAAAGACCTGCTGAAATGTTTCACTTATATGACCAAAAATTAGTGTAGAACCTACAGGAGGGTGTAAAAACCTCTCAGATGTGTACTGGCTCTGATAAATATGATGTGCCTTAAAACTGCAATGAAGTCAATATATTGATTCTGCTTTTTTGAGTTTTGAGGAGAAAAAAAAATGCTCCCCGTTCCCATGGCTCAATGTCAGAGATGATGTGTAGGAATACCGCCCCCCCCCTAGGACCAAGGCCTGGGTCTGTTGCTACTGGGAACGGAGGCGATTATAACAAAGATGCTGATGGCAGGGGATACAGGTCTCCAGCATGACCCTCCCTACAAGCACTGCCCTGCCCTGCCCATCCGAGCTGACCAATGCCT